ATTGAGCGTAAAGTCTTTTTCTGACTTAAGGAGCTGTGTAGCTCCGCTATAGACCTCATCATGAAGCGACATTCAATCATGCTGATTGTCGTCCGCGAGTAAATTTAAGGCACTTCTCGTCACCTCGTCCATTAAGAGGGCCACTAGACGTTTGTTTTCGGCTCAGCCTCTTCATGGGCCGCTTTGAGTTCACTCTGAGGTGAACGACGGATCTCAAGACACTATGGAAAATAACGTTGTCTCGCGCGCAATCAACTACATTTCTACTTCTCCACGAATCGTCCAACGTCCATTCCAGCGCGCACAATTTTGATGGACGAGACCGCTGCATTCTTCAAGAATCCGCGCTTGAACACTGTCGGCATTGTTGGATCCAGAAATGTTGTGCTCAACTCAACAGATTTGCTCTAATGCGAGTCGCTGCAATATATGTTGACTCAGAATACGTTAAGAATCTTCTACAGGTGGTCATATGAAAGGGAAGAAGTGGTGGAAGCTGGAGCGGGAAGGCAACGTAGACGTGGAGTTGGAAGAGAAAGCGTAGGTAAATAGTGAAATTTTGCTCAGGTGGACGAGTTTGTGTTCCCCATCGTATTCGAAGCCAACCAGGTCAAAAGATCCTCGTGCGGGATTCAATGAGTGCGCATATTAAAAATGTCGTGAACGATAGATGCGACGAAAATAGAATTATACCGGTGGTTGCCCCTGGTAAACTAATACCCTTCCTCCAGGCCGGCGACATTGGCAGATGCAAATCATTTTAAGGATCATGTATCTCATGAGATCGATGCTTCAAAGGTCCGATTCAGCTGAGTCACCAAGAGAGAGAAATCTAAAGCCAACGGGAATCAAGATAATTTAGGGCTGGGTTGAAGATGCGTGCAGAGATGTGCCGGACTCTGCGATCCGAAAATTTATTCTTTGTGCAGTGTTTGCTGACGAGTACGAAGATGGGCACATTTGTCGCCATGATGTATATGGCACGCTTTTTTGTGAGCAATGTCGTGCCCGTGATTAATAAATTGAGTGAATTGATGTACTTCCTTATGAGCTTGTCGATGATTTCGATGAGCTCGTCGTCCGTGATGATGATGCGGAATGAAAAATCGTTCTTATCATAAAGCCCATTTGTGGTGGAGAAATTTCATTGGAATTTCACACCTTCTTCAATTTGGTAGAGCTGGTTATCTCATTGTAAAATTAGAGCCTGGCACCAATATCTACACAATGCATATGTTAGGCATAGAGAGAATATTTTTAGGAGATTTACTTGTGTGTCTCACATAATGATTCAAGCAGTGGATAGCAGATGCACCAAGGTGCAACAGATGAATCCGGACTGTGTTTACAGTTACTAAATTTCATTTACGGCTCAAAACAAGCACTTCGGCTATGAAGCCACGAGACGCTGAGCTGTTTTTGTTCACTAAGTACATAACAGGATCGTGCGTGTACTACGAGAGCTAAAATAGAGGAGACGTTGTGGTAGACACCAATATGGACGACCTTCTTCCAGTAGCGGCTGGCGACGATATACTTGACGCATTGGTAGCGACATGAAGCGCGTGGAGCTAAATGCCTTTTATTAATATGTATGTTTCGTCAGTATGAGGATTGGATGTGACCTAGAAATGGATGATACCACTGTGAATGGTAATCGATCAACGAACTCTGGAAAAATGGACAAAGGAAAGCTAATTTCGTGAGATCGTTAATCGCATATGAATGATAGCTAAACTTAGAAATAAGTGCACTAAGCCGCTTCCCACCACAGAACCTAAAATTTAAAACTACTTGCGATCAAGTTCTTTCAACCATTAATTAAAATTCTCATCCATCTCACGTTGTGATCGACCAGAAATTTCGACCTTGTCGTGTTGCCCAGTGCTGCACACTGGGCAACACGACAAAGACATGCGCCAGTCCCGCACGATATGAGAACCGCACGATGGAAATAACGGAATTAGCAGGTATAGCAGAGATGGAGCAACAAATGGGAAGGTGATCAGAGGAGTTTGCGCTCAGCGTATTGAGATACAGAGATGATATGCTCCAAACAAAGCAACGAGAAAGTTCGTATGAGGAGGGTTTCTATTATTCAAATGCATTTTTGTGGGATGGTATTCGAAAACAGCAAAAGGCGATTGCGCTGTCGAAGGCAGTTCTAGCTGCTGCAGCTAGTGAAGCTAATGTAATTCAAATAGATAGAAAAAAGTATGTAAAGTGACATTACATTACGGCATTATAGAGATACGCATTCATAATCAGGCAGCGATTCAACAATTTGGAAATAGGGTCATGTCTAGCAGCGCGATAATGTTGACATTAAGTTAAAGTGTGCTCGTGACACAAGATTATGCTGAAGTTGAATTAAAGTTTTTTTGAGTGACAAGTAAAAAAAGGTACAGTGAATTCCATTTATGGTGATAATAAGGAATCACTGGCGTATATCGTGACTTAAGGCATATCAGGACAGAGCAGGATGGCATGCAAGACAATACAATTTTTAGTGTTGTATTGCCGTGGGAGGAGTGCTGGAAGACTAGTCAATTTAGAGCACGTGCTACATATCGAACGGTAGAGGGCAACTCAGGACATTGATTAGCGAGACTTGTAATATCTAAGGAAGAAGTACCTAGAGATGGAGATACATCAGTTTGCAAATATACATATAACTCATACCCCGGAAACCTAAATGCATTTTTGATACCGGAAATACGGAAACATGATGAGCCAGCTGCAGCTGATTACGTGTAACGGCGGTATATTGTAGCGGTACATTAATGGCGCAGGTACTTGTACCATGTAATGTACAACTCCTTTATATTATTGTTTTTCAGCCACCAAACCATAGGCGAGGGATTACTTAAACAGAAGTAAAACCTTACATTTTACATAATACGTATGATTTGTATTCGTGTGGAAACGTTTACAAACGTAAGTTTGCATATCGATATGTATAAGACACGTGCCTTGTCAAGGCTCCTTTGATCACTAGAGTTAGAAGGCTGGTTTAGACATAGGCTCTTCCACACTTGGTGCTGGTACTATTTTGAATCGTATCTGTCTTTATAACCAAAACTAGAAGAACAGTGAGCTAAGCAGAATCGTCAAGTCGTGTTCGTGTAAGAACGAAAGAACTCGTCAAGCTTAAGTCGTCCTCGCGTAAGGAGCTGTTGTACCTCCGCTTAACCAAACGTATGTACCATGTGTAGCTTTCTGCGGTATGGGAGCCCTGTTCGAGCCCTAATTTAAGCAAGTGCAGATTCAAGCATTTCCTAATTATCGATTTTATATCTCGCACGACCAAACACGTCTAGATCGTTTATCTTGAGCTTTGAGGTCCATTACTTAGCACGTTCAGCCAAGTTGGACCCATGCGCAACTATATGTTTAGGGATTATCGATAGCGCGAAGACCTTCAATGACGTCGTTAAGAATGGTGAAACATTTTTAAAAGGTAGTTACTTCGTCTGTCTTGACTCTGGAGACGACCAATATCTGATGTCGGTTCCACGTGCATGCATCGCCCTGACATAAATAGTAACTACTTGTTACAGTATCGTAGCCGCTATGAGAGTAAATCGCCTCGCACTCTCAACAGCTCTACCTGCATTATACCTGGCTGCTAAATGAGAGTAATGTTCTCAGCAACTTCAATCTATGTTTTATGCCTTGGAATTCGTAGTTCCAAGTGTATCCCTCTCTAGGGCGAACAATACTGTCCATACGACTATGCCGACCACGGACAAGCTACTAATGTCATACTGTGTGTTTATCGATGCAGTCGACCAGGCGAAACGTCTGAGCGTGACGTGAGAGCTATCTTCACCCGCCATGTCCATGGTGGATGGTCACGTGATCGCTCGACGGCTCACAGAGCTCGACCAGGTGCTAAGAGGCACGTTTTAGTAATAGTAGACACCATGTATGCTATCGATACTGGTTATGGTGTAGATATTTGCACTAGAACGATGCTTATAACATGTGTAGCAAGAAGTGCAGACGGCAAATTGGTGACGCGTTGTTTGGTCGAACAGTATAAAATGTACTTGGCATAATCGAAGTCTTCTGAGCAAAAATTGAGTCAATTTGTCCTTTGACTGCATTAAATGCAAATGCGCACGTTCGCTGCTTTTTCACCCCTCATTTTGCGCTGTCGTCATAATGAATGGCTTAGTTGACTGATATCATGACATCTATCGGCGTAACACGAGCAGTGTTTGTCAAGCGCTACAGAAAATGCCTTCAGCGGTAAACGTTGCTAGATATGGACACTCCGTCGACGCTAAAGCGTGATGCTGTTGTGACCGTCACTTTTTCGAGTGGACGACAGTTACGTACTAATAGCGACTGCTGGGGCTCAGGTATGAAAAAGCCTCCGAAAGAGCCTTTTAGGCTGTTTCTTTCAGCTATAATAAGGTAGCTGGGTCATTTGTAGCGTTCGTAAGAGCTAATAGACGATTTGCTCTTTCCATCGGTCTTATGTTCCTATTTTGCGTGTTGTACATCCGACGATGTTCTCTTGACATTATCCGATTCGATAGTATCCACATGGACGTGTGTGGTTCAATGTCCGTTTCACGTAGAACAGGCTCCTTCTGTTACGGACATTGTTTGCGGACGATCATGATTACGTACGTCCCCACCCCTGGGGTTTCAGTTTATGATTTATCCCATCGTACAGACTTCTTGCACGCACGAGCTCTCGTAAAACGAATAACACGCCCTCTTTTGCACACAATTGACCGCGCTATCGTTCGTCGTCCAACACAATTGGACCACTTTCTCGATCGTCGCGAGGCCGTACATGCCGTAAACATAAGTGACTTGGACTCAGAGACTCAGCGCTTGGCCAACTCTTCGCCTCCATCGCGTGTAAGTGAGTTCTTGACCACTAGAGGATCGACCGACAAGTATGTAGTATTACTGTATCTCGAGTATCCGTTACAGCCGTCTGACACTGTATCCCAAATCGTTATCCCAAGTCTTCGGCGACCATGACGTCGCGTAGCAGTCGTGTTGCCGCCGCGTCCACGAGCAATCGAGTGGCTTCCTGTATCGTGACCGCCGCTGTCTTCAGCGTCCTGTACCATCTTTTTCTGCAGCCACCAGCTGTCTCCTGTCCGTCGGGCACGGCATCGTCGTCGCTGGATTCAGAGTACCCCCGTCACGGCGAAGAGTCGCTACGTTCGGAGATAACTGGCTGTTTGCTGTTCCTGGGTCTCTTTGGACTCTTTCAACACAAGAAAAAACTGGATAAGAAGACCATAAGTCAAGCGGAACGGACGCTGAGTGCAAGTGGATTGTCACGTCAGAGCACTGGACTTGCAACGAGCGGTTTTACGACTGTTACCACTTTTGTGGACAACTTACCACGCGACGTCCGACACGAGCTGCTGCTATTCTTGTCACCGAGGGAGTTGGCCATGTGTCCATTAGTCTGCACAACTTGGGACCTTATCACTGGTGACGCTGCTGAAGTTCTCTGGCGACGTGTGTTCCAGCGGGACTTTGGTGAGCCGGGTGATAGGTTTGCAAAGGTCTTTCCCATCGAGTGCTGGCGGCAGTTCTACTTCCGCCACCACTTGTCACGAGCTGTGGAGCTCGCTCGGTTGTTGGACATTACAGAGGGCCGCAAGTGCGTGGCGATTGAAGGACAGGTGTATGATGTCACGGACTTCTTGGAGTTGCATCCAGGCGGGCCACATGTGATCGGAGATACAGTAGGCACTGACGCGACCGAGATCTGGAATCAGTTCCGGCATTCCAACGAGGCAAAAGATGCCATGCGTCAGTTTTTAGTGTGGGACAAAGTCCTTGCACGGCAAGCGAAGGAGAAACTATGTGGGAACCTCGAGTCAGTGGTGACTCGCTGGCAATCGATCTCGTGGGCGCTTGCATACTCGCACTGCTTCGGACGCATGGCGCCGCGTTTCACCGACGCTGTACTTTGCTACAACTTCCGAGGTGAAGCGAGAAAGAAGGAAAAGTTAAGCAACCATTGGCATGACTGAGTTGTACGTCTATCCATCCACGCAAGCATGATCCAGCTGGCACATAAATTGCGCGTTGAAAAAAATACAAGGTGACTCTCGGGCAGCCACACGTAAATTGACTCATTTCATCAACTTTTACTGTCCAAATCGATACGGGAAGAGTGAGAGGCTTGCGTTCAATGGCCACGTATTTGTTCCATTTTCGAGTCCTGTGCAGTAGCACTTGGGCGTCCAAGGGTCAGGCAGGTTTTGTCGCGGATCGTAGCTGTTTCTCACTAGTGCCGGGGTCGTCTAACTGGTGCCTTTTGCTTATCCATTAGCTTGGTAGTTGTATAGATGACGCAGCTGTCCCTTGCACTCCCTTCGAGTAGTGCGTTTTTACGGCCGTCAAATAAACAAGAGGGAAAAACAACAATCATATACCTTGTGATGTCGTTCTACACAATGTCGTTCTGCCGTTCCTCCGAGTCCGGTGTATCTGTTGTTGGATCTGGTGTTGGATACACCCGAATGCGGTGTATCCGAGACCGAAGCTTTCACCTTCGTAATGGCCCAGGCGGTTTTGCATGAACCATACACGTTATTCAATCGCTCTTGACCATTGCTGCAGTAGTACTTGAACGTTTCTCGAAATAACTACACCTTGCGACGACTAACCTCCAGAGCTCGTAAATGTTACCCAATGTTTTGCTTTCGTCTGAGCTTGCATCTTTGGTCAACGTCGTGAAGTTTTATTATTTCGGATGATGCATTCTCATCATATCACCAGTTTTCCATCATAATTAGCTTGACCACATTGCATTTCACAACGTTGAATTGATCGATATGGCACGCTACGGCCCTGCGTCCTGCACATCTATCATTGAACCCCTAGCGTGTACTTCTGTTCGCACGTTTTCACACTTCATACCGTCACAATACACTCGCTTTATTGTCTCCTCCCGCGTCAGTCATCGATTTCTTACCTCGCGACACAAGATGTTGGGCTACAACTGCATAAGTGCACCTTCTTCTTCGTTACGCGGGTTATGCGCAGATAATCAACGTAGCTGGGCATGGTGTCGCAAAGGAGAGACCTGGAGCCAATATTGCATTTGCCGTCAACTGCACTTTCTCCTGTTAGGTTTACGCGGGTAGTCGACCCACGAAGCCGTCCTCAGTTGTATACAAAAGCTTCCATCATCCTGTCAAGCGTACAATGCACCACTCATCAGATTCTTATGAACGTATCGTACGATCTACCATCCATCTCGTCATGACTGTCCGACTTCGTTTACGCACTTTTTGTCACGGGGTGAGCCCGTTACATAAAAATTGGTACGAAAGTACCAATCTTTGAATATTATCTATTTAGATAATGTTCAATTGACATTAATCGTAAGGAGTAAGGTTGAAGCAATATTACCCCCAAGGGTAATATTTCTATGATGGGTTGCTCCACCTGATGGTTGATGCTTACGGTACATCAACCAGATTAACCACCAATCGCTGCTGGACGCGCGCAATCGGTGGTGAGCAAGAAACCCGCATAGGAGATTGTGGTTTAATACAGTTAGCTCAAGACAAAAGATGGTCATTAAGAAACATAACTATATCATATACAGTTCTACAATTTCCCTTATACAGAACTTCCAAGCTCTGCCTACTTCGCTGCGCTTCCTCACGCCACGTATACGTGACGTCGGGCGTACGCACACTTGTATTGTTATCAATACATGGCCTTGCTCAGTTATCTGAGCAAGAGCGTGCCCCGTTACACCTGGTAGCACTTCGTAGTCCATCCAGCGACCACAATCACCTCATCCGACATGAACATGAGGGATGAGCAAGAGAGATATTACTCCACACGTGAAGGCTTCGCCCATTTTAGTGACCTCGAATGGGCCGCGGTAGGGCGAATGAGATATACCGTGGGCGACATTGGCGTAACCCTTATGTTAGAATCTCTTGACAGAGACCAAAAATTTGTCGTCATCGCCAGCTTCATTCAACATGGACTTGATACCAAATGAAAGAAAGTAGCCTTGCTTCAACAGCAAGGCTCAAAACAGGATGAGCAGTTTAGAGAACCCGGTGCTCAACAGACAGAGCTGTTGAGACAGCAGCAATTCAATGCTGCGGTGGGTGAAACGACACACACGCGTCGTCCCGAAATCTTGAAGATTGATATCTCCAAGTACAGATGAGTCGAGGAATACTCCGTGTTATTGGGGTTCGTCGAAATAGACAGAGCCATAAAGGCACGTCGCATCGACGATGATCAAATGAAACTAACATTTGTTCAAACCCACTTGGCAGGAAGTGCCAAGACTTGGGCCTTAGGGCTCGAGATGAGCGACCCATATGCTTTCGGTTTGCTAGAAACCTTCAACATTCGGCTCAAACAAACGTTTGAACCGCCTCGGGCTGAGTTCAGGGCTCGTTCTGAGCTACTGAAATTCAAACAAGGTAAGTGCGATATGCACGCATACGCTCAGCATATACGACTACTCGCGAGTAGTTTAACTGCTAACCCAGTTCATGAACACACATTGATTACTGTGTTCATACAAGGGCTTGCAGACGGGCCCGTCAGGAATCCCCTGTTCCGCCTATAGCTGGATACGATGGAACACGCAATCGTATCTGCGGAGCCGGAAGACTTTAGCATGAGACACGCTCATGCTAGACCGAGATCTTATCGTCCACCGAGACGACAAGAGACCAAAGGTCCAGAACCAATGGAACTCTGTTATGTTGAGAGCGAGAGACCTCTCTCTTCAAACAACAAGCGATTGCAAAAGTGCAATCGTTGTCATAAGCTAGGACACTACGCTTACGAGTGTAGTGCTCCACGCCCAGTACCAAACAGTACTGAGCGAAGTAAACGACCATTTGTCAAAACGGGCAATGGGCGTGGGTCCAGCGCTGTTGCGAAATCGCAAAAGCGGAGCGGACCATCCAAAAATGGCCGGGGTCAGTAGGGGCGGAGCGTCCTACTGATCCAGCAACCTCAAGAGAATTTGCAAATCTCTTGCGAAAGTTGCTCCAGACACACAGTCACTGTGTGTCTCTGCACCTGGTGATGAGATATTACTCATCCCTTTGAAGTTAAAAGTGACAAACAATGTGTCACTTCGTGCTCTGGTTCACTGTGGAGCGTCGAACAACTTTGTTCGTCGCCAGTCACTGGAGGAGCTTGGGCTCAAGTTCGTTGAGCGCCATACCCTCTCACGAGGATGACGGTGCGTCTTGCTACATGCGCATCGATTACCGTTGAAAAACGTGTAGTAGGAATCCACTACACGTTCGAGGGCGAACAGTACGATGATGACTTCATCGTACTGGATCTGGATGACGAATTTGATGTCATCTTGGGATTATCTTGGCTCAGAATATACGAGCCAAGGGTGAGCTGGCAGCATCGACCCGTGAAGATTCCTGCCACTTGTTCATCAAATGGCCATCTGATGAACATCTTGGAGCGTCCACGAGCGTTTGGATGTTCTGCGAGTGAGTGCGATGGCCTCACTTGCGGTACGGTCGTTCGCACGACTGCACAAGATCACAGTGTATTTGATCACTACACTGTGGAGCAAGCTCCCGGCGGCTGTACAGAAGTACAGGCAGCGCCGAAGGTCCACCACTCGAATAAGTCGAGTGGACCGGGACGTGGATGCATGCCTAGAGGGCAGCATCTTAGACAAAAGAAACCTGTTGCCTTCAAAGGGCATCATGGACATCCTAGGTCGACTGGAGAGTCGACCGTAGAGGATCGGTGCCTGACTGCGGTTGCACAGCCACAGCAGGAAGACGTCGAGGGAATAAGTCCCCACGTACTTGAGGAAGGAATTCCTCAAGAATCACTTGCTGAAGGATTAGGCCTTCAGCAACCTGTGGAAACAAGTTCCCAGGAAGTAACCGAGACGTTGAACGTCTTGGTTAATGACGGATCAAGCGTAGGCGCTTATACGCTTGATCTGATTGTGCCTCCGAAGTTAACTTCGGAGATGGCTCAATTGCCAACGCTAGAACCGAAACGGTTCTTGCGTGATCTACGCAGTGGCAAAGTCAAGCAAATCTTCATACTCGTCACAGAGGATGAGTATGTGGCCGATATTCGGTCGGCGACGGTATTTGCCGAGAACGAACGGGTTCTCAGCAGCTCATCGATGAATGAAAGTGTCCTCGATGAGAAGACTTGGATTGAACGATACACTTCTCAATCCTGGGAGTCACTTCAGGCAAATCCTTTGTAAAAGGATTTGATCGAATTCAGGGATGTGTTACCTGAACCCGTACTTTGCGAGTTGCTTAAGGACAAAGGCGCTCGACACTAGATCGAGCTCAAACCGGTCTCGAAGTACTGTGTCATGAAGCAGTGGCCACTGCCTCGTGAACAAGTACTAGAGATCGACAGGCTCTTTGCAGACCGCTTTGCAACGGACCATATGAGGGAATCAACTTCTACTCACAGATCTCCGACCTTCGGTGTGCGAACGATCACAGGAGTATGGCGGATAGTGCACGCATTCAACAAGTTGAATGCTACAACGGTACCGGCTCAGACACCGATATTGAGGAAGGACGTGATCATAGATGACATGTCTAAGAGTACCATCTCTTCTTCCATGGATCTGATGGATGGATTCTATCAGATCCTCATGCGTGAACGGGACATCCCGTACACGGCAGTGAGCACCCCCAGCGGTATGTTGTGGGAGTGGCTAGTGATGTCACAGGGGCTGAGTAATGCCCCTGCTACTTTCAACAGATGTGTCACAAATCTGTTGAGACCGGTGTGGGATTTTGCACCGAGTTACATCGACGATGTGTTCGTCCATAGTCGGGCTATGGACGTGAAGACGGACGTTGAAGTTCTCAGAACTCACGTTCGTCAGGTTCTTCAACTTATGCTTGCGCATAAGTTGTACGCAAGCCTCAAGAAGTGTATATTCGCAGATAGCGAAATACCACTTCTTGGTTGCATCGTGGGTAAACACGGCGTACGCCCTGATCCCGAAAAGATCAAGGCGATC